ATTGATAAAATTCAGAGAACAGGGATACACTGGGTTTAAGATATCAGTACATCGGAGCTAGAATTACAGTGATGCGCACGGCATACCAGGTGTCTTTTAATTTCAATGTAGAGCTTTGCCTTACAATTGCGAGGGAATAGTACATCCCTGTTAGCAAATGGTAAACTTATCAACTGTTTCTGTTCGCAACGTCGCACGGAAACGGCTGATCATGATGAAATTTTCATAAATTCACGGCACAAAACGTTTTCGAACGTATGCGCGCCTGTTTGTCTTAACCACTATGCGTTTGGCTCTCTTGATGTGTGCACCAGTTTTTTGTTTCAGCTACGACACTTTTTTTAAACATCACTAGAATGTAGTAACTTTGTTTTGCCAAATGAAACTTATTTTTGAAGGTTTTGTTCATCACCGGAATGATGTGTGTCATGGACTATTTGAGCCCGTTTGGTTACCGCGCTCGAGCTCGTGATTCAGACGAGGAGCCTGGAAATGAGTTCAACCTGTTGAACAGCTTGTGGTTTGCTACAGCTTCCGTTCTACAGCAGGGTCCCGATAACACTCCTCTATCTCCCTCTGGTCGTTTGCTAGCTTCCTCCTTTTGGTTTTTTATATTAATAATGATAACAACCTACACGGCAAACCTGGCTGCCTTCTTCACAAGTACGTTCGACGAAATAGAGATATTTATTTTATTACGTCGAAAAATGCTGCTATTCTTTAGATCGAGATTTCAAAATTAATTAGTTTAAATTTCCTTTTCCTTTTCCTTTTCCAGTTAAACGAGAAGTGCAAACTATCAATTCCCTGAAAGAACTGGAAAGTCAAAACCAAACCACATACGGAGTCCTCAGAACCGGCTCCGTGCAGAAATTCTTCCAGAATTCAGCAAATCCTATTCACATGAGAATGTTCTCTTTTATGAGAAGTCAGCAAACTTTCGTCAACTCTACTGCTAATGGGGTGAAAAAAGCGAGGGCAGAAAACTACGCTTACATAACAGAATATCCCTACTTGGCATACTACAATCAACAGAAGCCATGCAACACGAGGTTACTGGACAACCTACTTCAAGCTAAAGGTTATGGAATTGGGCTGCAGCAAAACTCACCACACACAAATAAGATTTCTGTTGAGATCTTAGAGGTGGGAGACTCATCTTTTTCGGTTATCTGACAACACATGTCAAGTTACTTTTAGATTGAGAATCCAGGAAGTTGTACATGATCCACTGAAAATTTTTCTCTTATATACAGCAATGCTAACTGCTATAAACACTGTTGCAGTGTAATGCTTTAGTCCAAGTTTAAAGTCAAACTTTCATGATCATTAGTCTTATTTTCTTACAGCTACGAGAAAATGGCTTCATTGAGAAAACACGGCGAAAGTGGTGGGACGAGCGTAGTCAATGTCCAAAACCATCTAAGTCCAAAACTGGGAAAATACATAGTCTTGACGTCGATAACATGGCTGGAGTGTTCTTAATCTTACTCAGTGGTGTTATCCTCTCAATATTTATTTTGCTTATCGAGATACGCTACAAGAAGCTGGCTGCGTGCTCCACTAGTGGCCAGGTAAAGTTGTGCTTCGTTCACACTACAGCGGATAAGATATAATTGAAAACAAAACTTTTCTTAACATTCAGGCTCACCTTGTATATTGGTGCAAATTAACTGCTCATGGGAAAAGGAGGAGGTCAAATGAAGGAATTACAAATGATGGTTTGAAAATATTAGGAAACCGGGTTTCCCTCATTCCTCTATAAAAAAGTCTCTGATAGATTGGACAATTAGTGCCGTCAGAGAGTGAATAGGAAAATCAGAATTTTGTTTAATTTCCACTAACGCACTCTCCGTAGAACGCTCTGAAGCGATATCTGAGAAGAAGTTGCAAGGCGCAAAAAGAGGAAAGTGACCATTTGTCTACTCCCGCCATTCATGTTAACCCGGTCACTCCTGACAATCCTGTCACACCGGTCACACCAGTAGCACCGGTCACGCCGGTTCGAGTAGCTGTAGTGTTATCCCAAGGAGACAAGGTTTTAGAGCAATTGAAGGAAGAAAAAGGCAAGGGCAAAGGTTGGAATAAATGGTTTCAAGGCGTAGGAAAGATTGAAGGTAAAAAATACGTTACCTCACCTTTGAGATCGAGCTCTGATCGGTTTCTCTTGCTTTATGTACATGGCTTATGTTGTAATAGAAGAGCGGTATAAAGTTTGTTTTTTGACGGATTCGCATACAAAAAAAATTGGCAATTGCCGTAGCCAAGCTCTTCTTCAAGGTCCTCCGTCACACCAAACTCTAGAGGAGAATCCACCACAGTTCTGTCTGGTGTAAGCAAGACAGACTCAGAAATGGTATACTGACACGGAATATGCAAAACGATGATAGTTGAATTTGAGACAACCCACCATTACTCCTTAGTGTTTTTTTCAGTTGACTGTCATTGGGTTAGGGGAGGGGTAGGTGTGCAGTTGCACAGATACCGGCTGACTTTGGTTGGTGATTTTTTTGTATGTGACATTTTGGGTTTTTTTTTTCTGACTTCAGTGTCTCGACGATGAAGACGAGAATATTGGAATGTTTGAGGATGTTGGATGACGTATGAATGAAAACATTAAGCAGCGATCCATGTCTTCAATCTCCATTTAAGGGCATCAATAATTGAGAGTAAATGTTAAGTGCGAATAACCGCTGTTCAATCATTTATTCTTTTCCCTTCACGCCATGAAGTTACTTCGGTGAATAGGTTTATAGTGGATTAAAAGAGTTAACTGAGGTACGAGTTAGTGGGCGTGGATCGTTTAGGAGTAATTTTCCAAGGTTTGCGTTAGTTCGACAAAACAGTCGAATTTTTTTTACGAGTGGGACGATCCTCCCACTCTCAGCTCAGTAGTGTCTCCCGAACACCGTCGCGCTATTTTCAAGCACAAAGTTGACTGGAAGAAAGAAAATATCTGCGATGAGACAGTGACTGAGTCTACACGAAATTCTTAGAGCTAAAATTCCAGTGAATTTATGGCATACTGTGCAGAGAATTGATATCATGGTTCATCATGATGAAAATTGACCTTAGGTAGAGAAAAATTAAAAACAATCATTGGCCAGGTTGTACAATCACTGGAAAGGCTCAAATAGACAAAAATAAATAAATAATATGATTAAAAATAGCATATTATCACGGATCACGGTAAAAGACAAACGTAGAAAATATGGACCGATAAGCCGAGAGGTAACTTTTCGAAAGCTGCAACAGTGAATCTTGGTCGCCTGTTAGTTGGAGTGATATACATGTATTGGCGAAAAGGCATTAAGGAGATAAGTCTTTGCGATTGAAGTAACTTTTGAAATAATAAGAAACTACATGAAGAAACCGCACGGTGAACATCCAGGGAAACAAACTTATCTTAACGCCCAAGGTTAAAAATAACTTAGCTGAAATCGACCCATCTTGGCGTCATTTTTCTCCCCTTTATTCCTCTTGATTATTTCATTAGTTAACACATGGTCTGCCTGAATTACCTGCGGGTCCGTGCTATTATTTCAATTTTGTCTAATCAGCGTTGAATGAGGTGTGTGAAATAGCGTTTGAATATGATTTTTACGAGAATGTAATTAACATGAATATAATAAACACAAACTGCTCAGTGGTTTCGAGATATGCTTATTGTGTATCGCCTACGTGGGGGGGAGGGGGATTTGGTGGTGTCTGAGGATGGGGGGGAACACATGGTTTCTGGTAGAACAGGGGGGGAGGGGTATCAGTCGTCGCTTACAGAGTATAAATGGGGGACTATAGAAAACTGAATACTATTAAAAAACCTCATGAGAACAGTATCAAATAAATTTCATTGTAGCACGATCAAAATTCTCTAAATACATTAATTAAAAAGACCACTTTTATCTGATTCATTGTATAAAGAGAAACTTCTTCCCCTTCAACAATGTATAATGCTTCATTACACCTCCTTATATTCGACATTTCATGCAGTGTCACCACGCCCTTGAAAAGTTTACAGAGCGAAAAAACTCAACAGGAGGGTAAGCGTACTAGGATTCGATTTTGATGAAATCGCATTAATTATCCCAAAAAAATTTGACCAACGTTGTTTGGGAGAGATGGGGGAGCATTTGGTTTAAGTAATATTGTGTTGTGTTCCATGATTTTAAGTCTCCATTGTCTGAAATCCACAAAACTCAACATTGTTTGCGGTAGGAGAGGGGAGGAGAAGGATTCGACCTTAAAAAGATCGCGTTAAGGGTTCTTGTTTAGCCTTCCTGAAGCGTACGTGTGATGTACTTGCGGGAGCATCGCACGCAAATAAAGGATTAATACTGATCCTTTTAATGACACTAATGAGTTAAATCAGGACATTGTTCAATAAGAAATCTGGAATAAGACTCAGTCGTTTACCAAATTTGCGTCATTATATTTCAAGCTCGACTCGTCCCGAAAAAAGAGACGGGCGCTAAACTTATTGTTGTGTGGTTAAAGTTTTCGATTATTTTAAGATGGCTTGTCTGTTATCAATTTTTGTGTGATTAAAATCATCACTTTCACAAGTATTTTACATGCGACGAATTTTTTTTTATTTGTTATCACCAAAAGGTTCACTTTCCCTATGACTTTCGGACTTCTGTATTTCATCTCTTAATGGATTTGAGCATTCTGTTTTGACTGTTAATTTGGTTGCTTCGCTTTTGTCTTTTCAACTCAAATTTCTATCGATAGCTTGCATTTCATGTCTAGCTGATTCGTCATCGCATGTACGTGAGGTGAACGCCCGCAAAAATCATACCGTTGCTCGCCATTGTCTGTGAAGATCTATAGAAGCAGATGAGAGTTGTTTCCTGATTTAGCATGAAACAAATTGCTCGTCATACATAATTTAGCGCGTTTCTTATTATGCAAACACGTTCGCAAAATTTTAATCTTTTAAGACAGATGGTTCTAGACACCGTTTGATAGACCGTACCTTTAAAAGCTCGCTTCAGTAAAGAACCGATCATTAGTTGACTCTCTCAGAAGAAACTTTCAGTTCCCTTTTTTAAGTCGAAAAGGGAGACTTTGTGAAGATCGCTGAACGTCACTTTATAGAAGAGGTTAAAACGCTCAGCCAATTTTACAGTCTAAGGCATTCTGCAAATCGTAGGAGGTCCATCATGTACAGAGTTGTCAGATCAAGACTTCTTCGCATCTTTCTACTTCTGGTGTTGGTGAACCAAGTTTCACCTATGAATATCAAAATAGGTAAGAAAAGCATCAGTAGATTTCATATTCTTCATGATTACATTTAATTACAAAGTCATCTGGGAGAGCTACTGGAGTAAATCACACTAAAATACGCCATTATTAATAAACCTTAAATATGGATTTGAAGAATATATATTTGTTGTGTTTACACTTCACGTTTAATTGTTGTTGTGAGCTTTCAAGTTATTTCGAAGTTGCCGATCAGTGAAAACTGATCAACAGAAACAAGGCGTGTGACCTCTTAGTAAAAAATATGCTTACGAAGACTGATTATCATGCCACTTTTCAGATTTTTTTTTTCTTTGTCGTAGAATTAATGGAGTAAAGAGTTTAAGCTAATTCGCTGTGGTTTCTTTTTTCTTTTTAATTTATAACTCTGCCTGTTTTTACGAGCCAAGCATCAAAAAGAGAGAAGAAAGTAATCAAAGAAAATTATTTTGTGAAATCAATCATCAGGAGAAACTAAAAGCTGAAAAGAGTGATAGGCTGAAATTTTCGTGCAGATTCTCTTGCGGTTATGAAGCCATGGCCTTACCCGAGAGAAAGGACCCACAGCCCAGAGAGCTGCTTACTCAATTTGCATCATTTTTGATCACCTAAAAATCTTGATTTAAGTCAATAGTTTGAGTTCTTTCTAAATCCTTTTTATGTCTTTTGGAAATTTAAGCTACGAACATAACACAACGGGGAGGCGAGCGAGACACTCCTCTACTTTTATGGCTATTTAAGTACTAATCACCTCAAAAGGTTTAGTTATTATGGCGTTTTGTTCTGAAAACGGGTATGGATTCTGACTGTTGTTTTCTTGAACTTAGTTTGGTATCCAGGCGCATCACAAGAGCTTATAGACGCATTTGTCTTTTCAACTCAAAACTAGTAACAGAGGAATGAGGATGATATTTTATTTGAGTTGGGTTTTCCAGCGAATTTAAGCAAGACTGGAATGTGGAACTGACGCGAAGCTTAATTACTTTACAATTGACAAAGCCAAAGTAAAATTTACAACCGCGACGTTTCTTTTAGTTAAATCGGGTGATAAATTCAGAATATGAAGATGATGAGAGAAATGTGCAAAAAAAAAAAAATTATATGGTAACAAAAAAGTTTTGGATTTCAAAGGCCAGGAGTGAAACGTGTGTGAATATCAATGTTCTGGAGTGAAACAGAGTCACGATCTAGAGAAAAGACGCTCCACTTTTAGCAAAAATTGCGAGAAATCTCTTCCCTTTCCTGGGAAGAACTCATCAATCACCGTGACTAATTCAGAATTGAGGAAATCAAGCCTCACCGCTGTTGAAAAAAAGTGATTAATAAATTATTAGAGAAAGATGGTAAAAGATGATAGTGAGGTGATTTTAATTTTTGGTTAAAAGGGGTCTTTGATCAGGCGTGGATTGCATTGTCTTTAGCCTCTCTAATTCAATACAAAGTCCAGAGATAAATATTCAAGTCGTATGCTAATACTGGCATGTCCACTGTTAAGAGTTTCTAAAGCTTAAGTTTGGAGAGTCAGCCGTTCGGCAGAGTGACGAAATATTCATGTTACACCTTCGTTCTGACAAAGGGCTAGAACTCAAAACGTCAACTCTTTGCGGTGGCCACGTCAGTATGATCATTTCAAATTATCTTGCAATAGCACCCACCGACTCAGCACCACAATTTTTTCAGCCTACAGCCGGATTCGGCGTAATTTTTCAGAGGTTTTTACATCTTACAGGCGAACGGAGACAAGCCCTAGGTGAGCTCGAAACGCGCGTCACACGTGAGAGGAGGAGCGCGAAAAAATATTGCGCTCCTCACCTTGCGCGTGACTCGCATTGCGCGCTCGCCTCGTGCTTGCCTCAGTTTGACTGAAAAACGCGAAAGAATTACGCCTGCTCGGCAGACTGGAGTTTTTTACCCCTTTAATACAAGCATGAGCTGTGTCGTCTTTTACTTGTATGGGTAAATACGAATCCAAAGATAAATATGAAAATTCCACCCTACTAAATTAAACGTCCGCTCAGTTTATGATACGATGCTTCGTATTACAATAACATACAATCACTTTCAACCCATGGAGCACATCATACTTTCTTCTTCGCGCTCAATTATGAAAAAGAAAAAAAAGCTGCTCAAAATGACACCTTAAAGGAGGAACATAGAAATCCCTTAGCTGGACAATGCAGCTTAATAATCACTTGTCACTCCAAAAATCAAACCATTCACATTGAAGGGGAAGGGTTTGGAACCAAAAGTACCCTTCCTCTGTACACTTCCTAAAACTAATAAACCACTTTTATTCTCCAGGTGCCTTATACAGCAAAAACTCCGAAAGGCTTTTCAAGTTACTCGAATACCTTTTGGCACACGAGCCACGGGAGCTTACCTTAAAAAAGACTTTCATATTGCAACTAGTGCCACTGAACGTTGATGGTGAAGATCTCCTCTCTCAAGGTAGGTAATAATTAATGATTCCCTTGATAAGTAAAGGAGAATCTTTATGGGCCGAATTTGAGGAAAGCAGCCTTATCTCATCCCTTCAATTAAGTTTGAGAGTTTATGTATTCCGAAGGAGTACCCTTCTTTTCTATATGATTGATGGGTGGATCGGTGGTTTTTGAGCCCAATGATCTCAAAGCAGCGGCGAATATCTAGTCCAAATGATTTTAAACAGAGTTAAGGTTTCACTAAGCATTCCCCATAAAACCATAAAACTCCCCCCCCCCCCCCCCCCCCCCATATCCAAAACAGTTTTGGGAGGTGCGAAGAATGGTGCCCCTATGGGTAAGCCATGCCATAGTTCCGGTGGTCTAAATTTTCCTAATATTTGGTGCAGGCGTTGTGCTCCATGGTAAATATTTTTTATTATGGGCAGTGCTTACGCAAGGCAGCGCCTGCTCATAGCAAAATGTGTTTGTATTCTTACATTTCTGTTAGTTTCAGAACGTTCTTAACTTTAGCTGATCAAAATTAAGACTATTGCTTGAAGCCAAAATGATTTATTTCCACAGATGTGGCGAGGAAATTAAGTTCTGTCTACGCTATCATTGACCTTGATTGTAAGAACGAAAACGTTCTTGCTCTGAGCTCCCTTCTTCAAAGACCTTTGGTTAAAGTAGACAACATTGACGAAGAAACGCCACACAAGTACGCGTTATCAGTGAGACCGTCGTATCGTGATGTCTGTGATGCTCTGTTTGATATGATAAAGTTCTACTCATTCACAAAAGTAGCCGTTGTTTATGATGGTAAGAATAAGTACTCGTAGGAGAACAGTCATTTATCATTAATCGTCGCCAATGTGTAAAGGGAGACTCTAGAAAATTGACGGCAAACTAAGTGCCAATGAGGGATCATAAGAACATTACAGAACCTTATGGAAGGATCAGATAAATTTTATGGTGACACAAACAGAATCCTCCGAACTCCACCCCAACCCACCCCCTGCCGATAAATTATGACTGGTCCTTCATCACCCCCTTGAAAATAATTGAAAATACAAACTGATTTGGATAAAATTGGTTATGACTGAAATCGCTTTTTAGAGCGGATGGATATATAAAAAAAATAAATAACAAAACAAAAACAAAACAAAACAAAACAAAAAAACAAAGGCTTTGCGTTTTAATGTGGATAAAAAATTATTCATAAAGGCGCTTTTTAAAAACGCTGCCGTCACTGTTCTTTGATCTAGACACTTGCCATTCACATGATTAAGTGATTCTGGCGCCGGTGATCGAGTTGTTTGAACGAAAATAATTTTGTTCGTTGATCTGTTCACCCTTTACTCCCTCACATCAGTATGCATATTCTCCATACTGTTCTCCAGACAATTCTTAAGGTGTTGACAAGGAGAAGTTGTTCAACAATCAAGAGCTTCTTTAGTTGGTGATCATTCCCTTTATTCCCTTGACCTTCATGTTTGACTCAGGGGTGATATTGCAAGGACTGATTTTAGATGTTAGACACTCCTAGGGGGTCGTAAGGGGAAAAGGGTTGTCTCATTTTTGTCTGATCAAATTTTTACTGTTTCTGAACGTTTCTTCAACGTTACTTTTGCCTGTTTTACATGTTTGAGCTTCTTAACTTAATTTCAGCTCGCAAAGCGAGGCAGGCGTCTTTGTTCTTTGCAAAGGTTCGCAAGTGGCCAAGGTATAATGCAGAAATGATGCCAGAGCTTCCTCTAAACAATCAGTACAAAGTGAGAGAGGCTCTCACAGCCTTACTGAAGGCACATATCAAACAAGTCGTTCTATTTGCTGATCAGAAGGACTTGGCAACCATAATGAACGAGGTAACGCAATAAAATGTCATCCGTCACCAGCAAAATTTACACTCACTTATCAAGGATGATGCGAAAACGCGATTGCTGAACTCAGTTAATTACTTAAAACGTAATATTACTTTGATCAATGCGCTATGTGAGGCAATAGGCTATCAGGGAAGAGTTTGTTTACAGGCTAATCACCCGGTCAAGTTTTAAAATTTCATTTGCAGCCAAAATTATATTTAGCGGCCGTAGTTAGTTCTTTGTGCGGTCTATTTCTAACCGAATTGATCATTTTAAACAGGCACTATTTGTGGGAATCAATGACAAAGACTTGAAGTGGATAGCCTCAGATCTGGTAACGCTTGTCTTGACTTTTTTAATGTATCTTTCCCTTTAATCAATGTGAATTTTAAGCTTCATTGATTACGTAGCTCGAGATGCCAGACCCATTATTAAATCACTCAATTTATGGGAAATGGAATAGGTCAGTAGTTCTGTAAGAAGTTGTCAGTTGTAATGTAAGGAAGCTGGCTCCTCATTAAGTTACACCTAAGTTGCAAAAGATCTTCTCTTTAGACATACTTTGGTCGTTCTCGGATGCACCACATTTGATAGGGCCAAAAAATGTTAAAATTGAAATGTAGGACTGATCAAAGAACGCGGGTGTAGAGATGTATACACTCTCTACGATGGTAAAATAATTAAATGCGTTCAGACTGTTAAGGCATCCTCACCGTGAAACAATAACATGGTGCCTGACTATAGAATTTTCAGTTTTTATGACATAGAATGTGCAAATGTGACTGGCAACACCTCTTCATAGGGTCTTGAAGGGTGGTGAAGAATATTTTGATTCCTTAAACTCTATATCTAACTGATTAATTAGTGGTTGAGAGGAAGAAACGTCTCTAATCTTTTTGTCCTTTATCAATTCAATCTGGATTTGGTATCAATAGGAAGTGGCAGGTCCAAACAAGACTTACCCCTCCATTCGCGGTCTGGTTGGACTGAGTCTTCATCTCGGTAACACCACAGCGGCGAAGAGATTAGAACATATATCAAAAAATAAAGTCACTGTGCCTCGTGGAGCAAACCACTACTCATTGGTAAGAAAAAAAACAAAATGAACAAATTGCTCAACTTTGTTTGCGAGGTTTTGATATTTTTATTTATCTATCCATTTTTATTTTTTGGGGGTGTAGGAAGGGGCTGTTTTTATTGAAAGAAGATGTCAGAAAATTCATGTTTCGGTGGGACATTTGCAGAAAGCGTTGAAAAAATTTAGAACGCACTTATTGTCGTACACCGTTGTGGTCTGCTTGTGTGACTCCATGACCTATCGCAAATAATCTTTATTTTTTGTGCGCAGGAAATGTACTCCGCGGTGCATGATGCAGCTTCTGTAGTAGTAAAAGGATTAAATATATTCTTGTCAAACAAGACCAGGGTAGATATGGCAATTGAATTCTCGCCCAACCAGAAGTGCCCTCTACGAAGCAAGGAAGATTCAATGGCACAGGCAATTCTAGACGATTTCAAAAAGGTAGAGTGTTACTTAACAATTCCCTGCTTTATCACTGTCAGGACTCCTGTCACTGTACATTCTTTCTCGCTGAGTCGCTCCGTAGTCTTCGATCCGTTGTTCCCAAATCTTAATTAGCGTTAAGTCCAATATAAAATTTCCGAAGGTAAGGCCAGGTTACTAATTTAATCCAACATGGCGACTTCCTCTACGGTTTAACTGTGCGAAGGAGCTGAAAGATTCCGAATATTTGCATCGCTAAGATCAAAATGGGACACAAAGATACTGTTTGAAAATCATATTTGTAGTTCAACGAAACAAATGGCCAAGGTTCAATTTTGCATTACCTCAGACTTCACCTTCCAAACGATTTCATAAAATGCTTGTGAACGTCTCCTTAAAGCACCCAAACCTAAATGAAAACAGATTTAGAGACGCATTTTTGTCCGGGTTTCCGGAGACAAAAGGACACAGGAACGTACAGACTCCAAATTGACTGGATGCCTGAACAAGCTCAGCTTCGAGCATTTGTTGATTTTATGAGTACGCCTTGCTTACGGTACGTGAACTTTGCCAGACGAAATTACATGAAACAAAGTTAGTTCTTAGGTACTTTTAAACTTTTTGGTAACAATAATTGGACTTTGACTGTGTTTCCAGGTCAGTTTTAAGGGCTTCACAGGAACTGTAGCATTTAAACGTACAGGGGAACGGAAAATAAAAACTGGCATGGACATTTTGAATATTCTTCGGGAGGAAGTAAAGAAGGTAAAGTTTCGCACATGTAGTTATTGATTTTGTTGAATTGTGGGACTGTTATTTTCCCTGTTTTTTTTTTCGTCATGGTGGTTTATTTAAATGTGTATCTTTGTAGGTATGAGTATAAAATGAAGGGGTGGGATGATCTGGTAAACACGCATACCATCTAAGGGGAGAAACAAAACCTAGTGTGCTCTTGCTGTGGAATGGGGGATAAGAATTGGCAGGATGATCAGCTGGATCATATGCTTGATTTTTGAGATGTAACCTAATTTTCGTTTGTATACCCCCAATCAACTGAGTTTGAGGTCCGAACTTTAAGTTACAGACCAAGTTTCCCCCCCTGGATTTATAGCCCAGGTATGAAATGCACTGTCCATAGATCAGAATGGAATGAAGGAGGTTGCATAACTTATTGCACAGACCCTTAAAATGAGATTAATAAGATATTTATTATATCTCTCAGTTAAAATAGAGGGGGAGTATTTAAATTCCAACAAACTTATGAATTTAGCTGGCCACACAGTGAAATAGGGCCAGCTAAATTGATCATAGTGCACATACTAACAGGGAGATATAATAAAATAGTTGACAGGATGCATGAGCACTAGGATTACAAGCTGAATTTGTGAGATGTAACTTACTTATCATTTATGATTTTAATATTTTAACTTATACTTTAGATTGGTTCATGGAAACCAGAGCTGGGAAACAATGGACGCAATGTTTTGCCTCGGAGTAGTGAAGAGCCTAAGTGGATCGGATGTTTTTATGAGTCTGTGAAATGCCATAATTACGATCCAGAACTCACAACCATTGGCCTTACACCAAAGCTACCAAAACTAAATATTACCACAGTGCTGGTGAGAATACAATGTTTTGCTACCCAACCATTTGTAGCCTGTATACAGTGGCCACCTTCATGTACCCTCCAAAAGATAAATTTTTCTTGGAGGGTGGAAGGGGGGGGGGGGGGTGGCTGTGAACAGGCTATCATTTGGATGATACAGTTTATGAGTGAAGGGTCTTCCCATGTTGTTCCTAACTCTTATGCTTTACAAGGATAAAGAAGATAATGTGAAGAAGAACTTATTTAGTGACACTTGGTGTTGGATTCTTCTGTGGTTATATGTTAGATGTGATTAATTTTTCAGAGTTTCCAACTATAATCATGATAGAAAAATTGCAATTTATTTTTATTGTAGAAAGATACCATCAGTGATTGAAAGAGAATATCGCTAGTTACTTATGACCTATGTATTTTATAGCACGATTTAATGTTTAATACTATTTAAAACTGTCTTTTTTTAACCCTTTAACTCCTATAAGTGACCAACACAGAATTTTTCTGTACAATATCAAGCAAACAAATGACAAGAATAAAGAAAGATGTAAATTAAAGGATTATTACCTGGTAGTTGATCCAATAGCAAATTCTTGGAACTAACATAATAACAATTTTATGACAGACAGTAAGGAGAACTACTAATGGGATCTTGGAGTAAAAGGGTTAATTTGTCTCTGTCATAACCCATATATTATTTCAAAGCTGTCTAGAATTCCACCTTGTAGTTCTCAACAATTTCTATCAATGGTATTTGAAGAGATTAGTGGAAAATAGCTCAAATGAAATACATGAAATCCAACACCTCAAGATCTTTGCTCTCCTGAGGAGTGAATGTTTGGTGAAATTCATCCCAAACTCCTCAGATAATTAAATCAGTAATGAATATTCCATTGCTGCTAGTAAATCTTATTCTCTTGGATGGAAAGCACTGCACAGGATTTGATGAGTATTTGATGTGACAGCTCTGATAGGGTATAAACTGATGAATATTTGACCTTAACCCTACAGGAGCCACCATTTGTGGAAAAAGTAAATAAATCTTCCAAACTTGTGGATCTAGCTGGAAAAGTTTCTAAAGGAGATCTTCAAGGATTCCTCATTGATGTGATTGACGAACTGTCTAAAGAAGCTCAGTTTGATTATGATATCTATTTGAGACCTGACAGAAAGTATGCAAATGTGATTGAGGAACTGAAAAATCAGGTGAAGAGTTACACAAAAGTGTACACATGTCATTTAAATTTTTTTTCTGACTATATTAGCTAGTATGCTGGACTTAACTTGGAAGGGCTCCATCCATTTTAGTGGCTGAGTTGTGAAATTGTCAGTGTCTTGTACATTTATCATGGCCTCTCCTCATCCATGAGTAGCATAAGATACTTTGGTTTTACAAACTGAGTTGATAATGTAAATTGGCCATAGTGAAGAGTTCCTAAAGCTGACTTTTTGAGCATTAGCCCTTACTCAGAGCAAATGAGTAATGGTTCTTTGTGCTAACATATGGTAGTCTGCAGTGGTCTCTTCCAACATCTAGAAAGTTTGGAAAACTACAAAACTGTGGGGCAAAAGTTTATCTTTCAAATTGGCATACTTAATCCCTACAACATCAACAAATGCTTTTCATTCAACTAATTTATTCTTGTGTTTTCACGTAACCATGTTTCGACCAATAGCATGTCTGCATCTTTCTGTATGTAAACTGCACAATCCACAATTATACTATTTACTGTGACAAAAGGGCCAACTGATTCGTGGGTGGTGTTCAATTTGGTAAATACAGTACTGGGTGTATCCTGTATGGAAATTTGATGAATGCTTGGTGTTGTATTTGATATATGGATTTTTGTTTTAATGTTTCCTGTCAGGAAAAGGATATGGCACTTGCACCTATAACGATAACTGCCCAACGTGAGCAGGACATTGACTTTAGTAAGCCCTTCATGGACTTCAGTTTGAGTCTTATTATGCAGAAAGCAAATGAGCCAGCCATCAACAACTTTGCTTTTCTCCAACCATTTACTGGTCAAGTGTGGCTGTCCACCATTGGTGTGGTAGGTGAACGTACTTGATTTATTGAAGCATACATTGTGCATACATGTATAAGGCTTGTGATTGGGCTTTATGGATCAAAGGGAATTACCGTAATGATACTATATAGCACCCTCCTTCCAATAAGCGCTCCCTCTCTAATAAGCACCCTTCCCCCCATAGAATGTGTTTTTGTTAACAAGCGCTCCTATTCTAATAAGCTTCCCTATTGAGTAAGCGCCCTCGTTCGAATAAGCGCCCTCGTTCGAATAAGCGCTCCCTGTCTAATATGCGCCTTCCCCATCGAATTTGTTTTGGTTGATGAGTGCCCCTATACTAATAAGTGCTCCTATTCCGTTTGAGTTATAGCACCGTTAGAGTACATTTTCGTTGAGATCAACCTTGGTTCATCTTTCTTTAATTGCTCACTTTAAGCCCCATAACAAAAAAGTGATCTTTGTCTCAGTCTCTCTGCTGTTATGTCGCCGTGAGGGTACAGTTCTTTTAAACGAAAGATCCTGTTTTAAAATTTTGCGACAATTGCTTGGCATCAAAGCTTTGTTTCGCATTCTGCTGTTTCTCAAAAAAGAAATAAGTGCCCTGTCTCGATTAAGCGCCCTCCCTCGAGGTACCATAGGTAAATAAGCGCTGAATCGAATCATTACGGTAAAAATTAATACAGTGCACGTGGGAGGCTGCCGACATTTACAGAGAGAGAGATCAGAAATTTAACCCACCATCATCATTCCCAACAGTCTGAAGTTCTTAGAGGTAGATGTGTTTTCGCCTTGTCACGAACGTGCAACGGAGGGAAAAACCCCGGTCCCTAACAAGAATCGAACCTCAGACCTTCGGATTCCACGCACCGATGCTCCACCGCTGAACTACAAAGATTCTGCGGTGAGCTAGGCCATTACTACTTGAAAAACATTCAGCAAGTGAATGACTCCCAGTTGTCACTTCGGACAACGACCATATTCAGCCCTCGCACACCCGGCTTTCCCACTTTGTGTTTTGAGACAGGATCTGAGGTGGGATGGTGGTGGGGGGGATATGCCCTCTTTGTGAAGTAGGGATCTGTAAGAGGAAAAACGTTTCTCCGCCACCTTATTTTTTAAGGTTTTGTTTATCACTGGAATGATGTGTGTCATGGACTATTTGAGCCCATTTGGTTACCGTGCTCGCGCTCTTGAATCTGACGAAGAGCCTGGAAATGAGTTTAACCTCTTGAACAGTCTGTGGTTTGCTACAGCTTCCGTTTTACAGCAGGGTCCAGATAGCACCCCTCTGGCGCCTTCTGGTCGTTTGTTAGCCTCTACGTTCTGGTTCTTTATCTTGATCTTGATATCTACATATACGGCAAATCTGGCAGCATTCTTCACGAGTAAGTATTACTTTTCGTAGCCAACTCCAAATAAATCTCACCTACTTGAGTTTGTGGTGTTTATGGGGGAATTCCGCCGGAAGAAGTACACCAAAGGGGATGTTTTAAAAGCATCTCTCTGTTATTAGCCAGGACGCTTATTTTGCCTTTCCGTTCTTGATAACAGCATGTAAAGGGATGCAGTAATTTTGTCTGTGGTACAATGTACATAAAAAGGATACCCTCTCAGTCATTAGAACTTAGATGCGGAGTATCTGTATGCAAGACTATGTCAAGTACTGGTTGTCATGACCACTTACAGTGTATACATGTCATTGTTTAGTTGTTAAATCACCGCTTGACCCTAAGGGGTGACATGCTTCTAATTTTTCTGTGCATTGTCACCCTTGAATCAAACATCAAGGCCACAGAATAAAAGAAATAATCATCAACTTATGAAGCTCTTGATTGTTAAACAAACTCTCCTCGTCAGCACCTAAGGAAATGTATAGAGCACAGTAATGATGTTAGGGTGTAAAGTGTTGAAGCAAGAATTCATTACAGTTCATGTAAATGATTTTCCTCCTTAGTCAAACGTACTGCTGATACAATTAATTCGTTGGAGGCTCTGGCGAACCAAAACAAAATAAAATATGGTGTTATGGACGGGGGTTCAGTGATGACGTTCTTTGAGAATTCAGAGGATTCGCTGTACAGAAAAATGTTCTCTCACATGAGAGAATATAAGACCTTTGTTGATGGGACCAAAGCTGGAGTGGAAAAAGCGAGGACCGAACAATACGCTTACATAACGGAATACCCGTACCTGGAGTACTACAACCAACAGAAACCTTGCAATACAAGACTGTTAAAAAATCTGATTCAAACCAAGAGCTATGGGATTGGACTTCAGCGAAACTCGCCATACACTAACAGAATTACAGTTGGAATTTTGAACGTAGGTGTTATGAAATAAGCGAGAGAGATTTTTTACTGTCGGGGGGAGGGGTGGGGGTGTCCGAGGCTTTCGGTCGTTTCGCAATTAAACTTACCTGATTCTCCTTCGGCTCTGCATTATTGTAATGATCCCCGTCATTGACAGTCAATTACTATATTTCTCCCTTTATACTTTGTTGTTGACGAGCTCTTCCCCCCCCCTCCCTAATAAGTGATGACTGGTCCATTAAGCCTTCTTGAGTTTGACGAAAAAAACAAAACGAACAAAATTAAAATAGACGGAGAGTATTTGAACATGGAATCCTACTCAGGCTAAGTAATGGAGAGGAAAAACCCCGATTAAATGCGCGGTTGACATCGTATGGTTCTTCCCTTCATTTGCAGCTGCGGGAGAGGAACATTATTGAGAGGACTCGTAAAAAGTGGTGGGATGATAGGAGCCAGTGTCCACCGCCTTCAAAGTCCAAAACTGGCAACACGCAGAGCCTTGACGTTAACAACTTGGCCGGTGTTTTTATTATTCTGCTGGGTGGTGTGGTGATCTCTATCGTGCTTGTCATTATTGAGATACGCTGCAGGAAGCTGGTGGATCTCTTGACAAATGGGAAGGTAAGATAAAACTTTGTTTTTTTTTCCTTTTTCTAGTACTTGTTGTAGGGAATGGGTAAATTAGCTTTACCGGAATTTTTCTTCTTAAAAAATTACAGCGTTTTGGTCTGACAGGTAAAGAATCTCAAATAGATTATTAAAAAAAGTAGTTAGAAAGCGTTTGTTGTTGAGCGAGTGTTTACATTCAATTTTTTTGAAAAGTCGTTTTGATCCTGTCCTAATTGACAAAGGACGATAGGTGTTTGAATTCTCGAATCATATTCATTGTACCACGCTCGTGATGAATGATAAAACCTCTAAAACTTTGGTAATCTTCGTACTAGTTTTAGTTTTCTTTTGATCTAATTTTTCCCTCCTGATTTTTACAATCTCACTAAATTTGAGGTTTACCCAGTAATTTGCAAAAAGAAAAAGCACTGAGACTGTATTGTTATTACTATTGAGACAATGCTCCTTTAATTAATCTGGCCCCGGTTGTTCGAAGGTTGGATAACGCTATTTATTGGAAAAATCGTCTAAATCTGGTGGTGGATACCGCAAAACGTTTTACTATCACCTATCCATTGGATAGCGTTATCCGCCCCTCATACGACTGGGCCCTGGACGTTATTTTGATTGTTTTAGCGGACGTCAGTTTCCTCTGGAGATGAAGGTCTTTAAAATGATATGGAAGGTTATTGTTAGATTTACCTGCTGATGTTGTTTGAAAACGAAGTCATGATCTTACGAAAGAAAACAAATTCAACTGCACCTGCATGGAGGGGGAAATGAATTTCATGATACAGAAATCAAAAGAAAGCTCGCAATTAAAAATAATGCTTTTCGAATTTATCTTTGTAACACTTTTTACATAGATGTCTCTCTTTACGAGAAGATCTATGATGAGAATTTTGTGGACATTTTTCAACATTGCATCTCTAGAGTGCGATTTAGTATCGGCGGAGGCAAGGCGAACCCAAAGAAATTGTATTTCAAGCAACATTTGACAGGAAAAATTGTTTGGGCCCTTTGCGAGTTGTTTGATTCCTAGCTTTTTGAAATTCATTTCCTTTATAGCGAGCCATAAGACACCGCTTGAGACGGGAGTCGAAGGAACCATCGGATGACCCTAACAACACCCGCGTGCGTGTGGGAGTGGTTTTGTTACAGGGTGACAGGGTACTTAAACCCATGCGTCAGAATACGCCTCAAACTTCTGGCTGGAGAAAGTTGTTTGGAAAGGATTAGAGGAATTGATGAAGATTTAGGAATTTACATGTACGTGAGCTCTGTCCGTTATCAAACATTATTTACCGCCTGGAAAAAAGGGGGGGTTATTAGAGGATTTTGGGGTCGTGTGATGATACGATTTACCTGAATCCCCCCTTTCCCAAGGTTTTCTAAAATTCTTATGTTCCCCTCCCCTCCCCTCCCCTCTCGCGGCAGTTAATTGGCGGTCAATTTTACATTGTCTCCCTTTGTACAAGTGACTTTCGACGACTAATACCCGTTTCGTTCCCCTGAAAACTATGCCATGTGATCCCCCCTCCTTTAGATTCCATTTACCAGTGACCGTTTTATAGTGATTAACACATTTAATGTTTGCGTCTGTTGGTTGGGATTAGTTAGTTTCGATTTAATTTGCTTCCCTGTTCTGTTAATGGTTCGTCCGTTTTTGTATTTAGAGCAGAGAGCAATTTTCAATCGAGTGTCGAAAGTAGTCCAGAATTGCTTCGTTTTTGCTTCACTTCGCCCTGTGATTGGTCCAGAAAGCTCGCGCCACTCTCCCAACCAATATGATTCTAAAGTAAAACCAATCTCGACCTAGTCACCTCAGTCCCTCCGCGAGTCTTGTCGGCTTTACTTTGAGTTCTCATTGGCTCTTAAAGGTATTTTTCTTTCTTCTGATCGGCCTTCGTAATTACTTTGGTATTGGTTTTACGACACTCAACCGAAGAGTGCTCTAACGGTTAATTAGACTGAATTTTGCTATCGTTGCACCCTAAAACTGGTGGCCAGCTTTAAAATGTAAAGGGCAAGCTAATAAAGCTAGCAAAGTCTGTTCTCATTCTAATATTTTCCAATCCTTTCCATCAAATTGGATAATATAAACACAGTGTTCTGCCCGGTTTAATGGCTGATCATTATTTATTGCCGGTGGGAAGGGGGGAAGGGGGGAAGAAGTGGAATGGAGTCGAAGGATTTTGTCTGTGTTACGATTCTTCCATAAGGCTCTGTAATACTCTCATGATTCTCTACCCCCCCCCCCCCCCCCCCCCCCCAAATGATGGCGGTTAATTGGCAGTCCATTTTCTATAGTTTCCCTTTTAGGTTCTTTTGGCGACTACGACTGATCCCCCACAATCCTCCATATCCCACCCCACCCCCCCCCCCCCTCCCGCGATAAATTATGATTGCGAAGTGGCTTTTAGTGTGACATAACAAATTATACTTATCTGTTTTAGTGTCGTAAAGCTGAAGAAGAAGCAGATGGTGGTGAAGTTATTCCCACGGAGAACATCCGTTTTGTTGAACCGAGGGTCACAGCTCCATACATGATTAATTTGCGTCCACACTATGACAAGTATGCATTTGCACCCGAGAGTAAACTCTAAAACGATAGCGCAACCAGTGTGAACTGCAGCATATACGTATGGATGTCTCACGAATAAATTGGTACCTAAGTTAAGTTCCAGTGAGTCAAGTGAATTTTAAAACGGAATTATATCACCTGGGAACTCATAACGAGTTAACAGCTTTAATTTAGCTTATTTAACTCATTGCCTGTTCAAGATGCAATGAACTTTGAGGGAATGTAAAAGCGAACGGTTGTAGTCTACATAAGGATGTGATCTTTGTCGCAATGATCACGCAGCGGTGTGCTCTGGCAAGGGAGTGTTACGTGACATGATGGCGTGACGTGTTGTTGAGTGTCACTCCAGTAATCTTTGGTAATTCTTCAAGCTATCTAATAAGGGGCTTTAGGTTAATGAAAATGCAAAAATTTGTTCTTTTTCGATGGGTATTATGTTGCTTAAAGGAGCTATGGCTATGTATTTGTTAAATGCGTTTCACATCGCCATTTTCTAAGAATTGTTGGAATCGTAAGAGTTATGGCTTTAATCCGTGACAAATATATGAGAATCGAAAGTAGGGCAAAAAGATGAGAAACAGTCGTTGAGATGATTAAAGCGGAATTTATGTCGCTCGTACAGAAAGAGATGAAGGTGGCTTTGATAGTCGATGTTTTAGTTCAAAACATGGTGCATATCTTCTGTACTACTTTTAAGATATCATAAGTGTTATCTCGTGTTCTTGTGCGTTTTTGAGTCATAAATCGTCATCATTTTTTCTTGTTTCCAAGTCTTAAAGGTTAATAGACATGTTAGATGCCTATTTTGTGGAATTCTCCTCCTTTATTTGAATCATAGAAAAAAAAAATGATAGTATCTTGCCTTGGCGGCCTTTTCTCAAATTAAAAATGGTCAATTATAATCCAAAATAAGTATTGCATCCAACAGCCACCTCACACTGATAAGCAGTAAAAGGTTCTTTCAATTGTAGTGGTACCTGTTTTTCGTTAATGTGGGAAGTTCATTGATAGTATTTGGTTCATTTTTGATTTCAAGGAATTTCAGTAAGCAGTCTATCTGCTGATCATTACCTAGGTGTATTATAGTCTTAAGGCCTGGTTCGGACTGTCGAATATTTTAGACCTTTGAATCTTATCATTTTATAGTTAAAGTGATGAGTGAAAAAACTTTGCTGGACTCGTTTTGATCATTTGGCCTGTGGAGATCCCATGTTAACAGAACCGACATAACGGGGAACGTAATTAAAAGATGACTCACATACAAATCCTCATTAAATTGACCCATCTGGCAAGGAAAAACTTAAGTTTGCACAATTTTAGTTTTTCGTTTGTCTTTGAATTAAATTGAACTCCTTTTTCCACTTTTGCTTCAAAACGTTTTGTGTTTCTTGAAAAGTACTAGTATTCTGCTGGAAAACTGTTGACGTGCATATGCAGTTCAACGATTTAAATTTTAACATCACTGCTCTTTCAGGATCCATAAGACCCTCTCAAGAGACCTTTTCAAAAGGTAATAAAAAGATATTGTGCTGAAAATGAATGAAAATTATACATATGTGATATAAATTGGAATAAATGAGTTCAATTCATCAGCCCATGAAAGCATCTAGATGAGAGTGAAAGACAAGTTCGAAAAGTATTTCATTGAAAATCTTCAATGAATGGAATATTAAAAAGAGATGCACATAAACAGGAACCACTTAGCTCTTGTCAGATCAGAAAAACTAATTCAATATTATAAGTAACGAAAGTTCCATCCATTTTCATTAAAAAAGGTGATATATTCGTAACTGCGAATGTAAAAACCCCATTTATCAAATGGAAATAAAAAAAACCTCTTACTTCCATCTGTCTCACCCATTCAGTTACCGATGATCATTAGTTACGTAAACATGTGTTTTAAAATTAAACACTTCTGTTTAGTTTCTAGTTTGATGAATAAGAATGGCACTGAGCTCAAGGATTATGAAATGCAGTTCATTAGTAAAAGTCTGTAGAAAGTTATAAGTATTTCATATTTTCTTCAATTTTTGTCAAGGTCGCTTTTTATGTCGGTATACTTCTGTAGACTCTTGACTTTATTAGACCGTTTACTCTCAACGCATTTTGTCGGTAAAATTGGAACTGGAAAATAATTTTTAATAGTGAGCGACTAGGAAGAAAAAACAATAACAACAACAAGAAAATGAAAGAGCATAGTCAGTCATTCGTTTCCGCTTCTTGGCGGCAGAACAAAACGTTGTAAGGTCTCCATGGTAGTGACTGCTTTTGGCCAAAAGACCGCAATAGGTACAAGTAGCACCAAAAAAAAAACATGAAAAATAGTTTCAGTAATATTTCCAATATGAAAACAATTTAAGAGTTGAATAAATTGAACACTGAAAATTTAAAGTCATTTCGAGCTCATCTATAGGCAATTCTATACATTACAATTTCTGAATATATTTTCTATACCCATCAAAACTGTTATTTAGACAGGTGCAACCAGAGCATTGTCAAGTGGCAGCCCTCTCCATATTTATGTTTCGTTATGGTTTCATCTAGCCTTCGACAGGGACGATCCGTTCTGACATTTAACTGAATTTATTGTGTAATATATTTTTTTGTTTTTGTAGTGCTTTTCATCACTTTGCTTTGCCTTAATACCAAAATACCCGTTTAATGATGGCCTGTCCATCAATTTAAAAATGTTATGTTCGTTTGGCTCCGTATGGATAGCTTAATCAGACATGTGCGATAACCTCTGGTGAAGTAATTGTAGTTTTCCTTTTCTTCACGGTTCCATCATCTCCTCTTGAAACATTAACAAGCTCTACTGGATTGGAACATCTAGTAAGCTCGCCCACGTCGATTCGAAGTGAATTTCTCTCGAAACTATTTTTTCTAAAAATCCCGACAAGAGCTTCGCGAAAAGCTTTACTGCGCACCCAATAGATAACTGGATTTACCACGGATGTGAATCCCACTGAAAATGTTGACAGCATTCGGGCAAAGCGCGGAACATTCACGGTCAAAAACATTAAAAATCCTAGCACTATTGTTGGAATATAGCATAGAGTAAATAGACATATCACGATGAAGATTGTGTTGGTCAGTTTTGCTTCTTGCGCGTTTATCATCTCCAACTGCCTCGATGTCGAACCTTGGGCAAACAAATGATGGATTCTGCGCTTTCTTGTTTTCATGGCTTTGAATATTCTTGAATAACAAGTCACAATTACTGTTGAGTTCACTATCAAAAAGGTGAACGAAAACATGTTGTACGATGAACTGGCGTTGTGGTCATGAATGCAGATAGCGTAAAAAGCCTCAAACTGATATCGTCCCAACCCGAGGAGTGGCATCGCGGCAAACGCACATGATGCGGTCCAAACGATAGAGATCAATACTAAAACTTTTTTCACTTTAAATACTCCTCTGTGTTTGACTGGGTGAACAGTTGCGTAATATCTTGTAATGCTAGTAACGGTAAGAGTCAAGAGACTGCAAGAGTACGAGACATAGCTTTGAAAAGCCTGGATTTGGCAAACGCTTCTGGAAAACATCCACTTACCACTGATAAGGACAGAGACTAGCAGAGGGAAGCTGATAACGGCACTGAAAATGTCTGCAGTGGCCAGGTTCAACAGGAGATAGTTCGGTACCGTTCTCAAAAGCCTTTTACGAAAAATTGCCAAGCATACTGTAAAGTTTCCAATCAGTGACAGTAACATGAAAATGACGGCTACACTTGATTCCAAAATGAGTACAAATTTCGAGCGCGGTGGTAGAGTCAAAGTGACATCCATTGTGAGGAGCAAAGCTATTTTACCGTAGTCAACTTTCTTCTTGGTGTCAAATCCAGGTTGTTCATCTGGCACTGATTGATAATAGTTCTTTGCTAAAACGAAGTTTCCCAGCGAAACCAATACTTTCTCCAATTTAAATTCATCAAATGGACGTAATGATTGGAAAAAAGGCATTAACTAACCTAAAAAAACATTTTTGTGTACACAAAAATGACAGCTAATATCCTCCTCGGAAGTACACGGAAGCTCACGGAATAATACAAATTAAAGGCAGTTTTGTTTACACCAAATTACAATTTTTGCAGAGAAAAGCATCTGCCTTATTCATTAACCGAGGATCGAGTTCCAAATGTACTTCCAAAATTTATATTTATTTTCAGTGAAAGTTGGCAAAGATTACCCAGCTAGCCAAAACAGACAAGTGGCTTTTATGCATATCGGAACCAAGAACAGACGAAGAAAAGGAAGTAGTATAGTCGAAATTTACCCATAACGGACACGTAGGAGGATTTTTTATTATCAAAAAATTTCTGCAAAAGACTTCAGTGGGATTTCTTAGAGATTGAAAGGATCTCAAACGAGTTCTGTTTTTAATAGCTCAAGCTCTTAATCAGCTTGTGGATCATATCATATTTATAATGCTGCTCGCAAGTCATGGTCACTTTTCGTGCGAATCATCGGCGGCAAAGCGTTCTTAGTGATGGTTACAGTTTCTCAACATCACAAGAGTTGGCGAAACCTATGCAAGATTAAATTGTAGGCCATACGTGCGTGCTGCTAATATTTTTTTTTTGGAAAGGATGCAGATGTTTGCTTTAATGGAAGGAAATGCTTTTAGTTCCAACACTAATTGATTCAGTTACGGTCAGGAAAAAGAAAATTAGTGATCAAGAAATGCAATTCTACACTACAAAAATTAAATTTTATGCATAAAACTACATATTTATCCAAATGTGGTTATAACATAGTAATTTAAGAGGCTAAACGGGTGCCATTTTCAATAAATATCCTGTTAAATATTTCCTATGCAGACCATACATACCGAATTGATAAAAATAGATAACGTAAGTCAAATATGGCTTTGTGGGATTGTCAGAGTGCCGCTAATTACTGTTAGCTTTTAATTTCTTGTCGCATCATTGTAAGTTAACTCGAATCGCTAACTCTAACAGAATTCAATTTTTCCTGGGTTTAACCAAATTTTTCCAGTTATTTACTATCAGCTAACTGGAACTCTTCGTTAACTCGAACTGACATGACTTTCCCATGGATCGAGTTTACCCTGATGACTCGAATTAAAGTAAGACCGTCGACCGATAAACGTCAGAGTGTCAGAACACAGCTGATTGAAACGAAAATTACTGTTGATTGTGTCAGAATTCATTACTTTAATAATTAGCCATTTTAGTTCAAATTACTGAAAAAATTGTTAATAAAGTTATTGATACCATTATTGATAGAATTATTAATAAAATTATTGACAAATGATTGAAATTCAACACCAATCCCGATAACTGGAACCCCCGCCAATCACAGCCAATTTTTCGTTTATCTTGGGAGTTCGAGTTCGCGGGGTACTGCTGTATATTAGCGGGGAAAGGTTTACGCAATTGCTCTTTCCCTAAAAGTGTGATACGCCTGGTGCGCGGAGAACAATCTAACACCATCCCTAAAGAAATCGGAATGCATGCTAATTTACAGAGGATCGTTTACCGTCCCCTTCGCACACATATACCTCGGAGGCAATAATTAAGAATGGATAACCCAAGGTGGACTCCTGGGTGTGGATATCGATGACAAGCTGGGCTGGTCCAATTATATTAAGGGAATACTGAAGAGCTTTGTCAGTAAACTAAGTCTTATAAAAAAGAGCAGATTTTTACCCAGACAAGATTTTTTAAATCTGTACTTCAAAGTTATAATTCCTGCAGTCGCTTACGCTATATCCGTATGGGAAGGTATCATTCGGTAAGACGATTTAGACTCACTTAAAAGACTACACTGCAGAGCAGCAAGAATTATCTCCAACTTTCTCCAGGTTATACCATCAGTGGAAGTCCTTGACAGGGCTAAATGGGACGCTTTAAGTACTTACTATAAGCAATCTTTCCTGAAATCTTTCCTGAATCACCACCCTGAATGAGAGCACATATTGTATATTGTAAAAATTTCACCTCTCTTATTATCTAAGAAATAGCCCTAAGATAGAAATTCCACTATTCAAATCCAATTCCCAAAAAATTTCCATATCTTACAGACGTTCAATTTGTTGGAATCACCTGCTGATTAAGGGTCGGAAGATGAACAGTGTGAAAAGTTTCTCCAGAAAGATTAAAAAACCTACCTTTATTAGGGTCATCGACTTTTCTCATTTACATCGCAGATAATACTGGCTCCATATAAGAGACTTCTAGCTAAATAATGTTATCAACTAGATAAATTATGAATTTTAGATCTGGCTCCGGTTTTTGGAAGGTTGGGCAGCGCTATCCACTGGATAAATCTCTATGTGGTGGATAACGCTGTACGTTTTGCTATCACTTATCCGCTGGATAGCGATTTATCTGTTGGATAACGTTATCCGCCCTTTATACAACTGGGCCCTGAACATTAATCAGACAGGATCTTATATTGCAGATATATATTTTATGTTCGTATGTAGACTTTTAATCCTTGTTTATTCACGAACCCTTATCGTGTTTTCAGGAAGGAATTATTATCATTTATCAGTTGAATTGAATAACCTGCGAAGTGAAGTCTCATTCCCTTCCTAGCTAAACTCAGTTGAGGTAATAAACAGGAAATTTTCCCTCCCAATATCAATCATAATCCAGCGAAAGGGTAAGGCGAACAGATAATCTTCTCATCTTAAAAGAGTATAATTTCCCAAATTTCCACAACTAGTTTACATGTAATTACATAGCCGCAAAAAGGAAGATTTACGAAGACGGAGGGATGCGGCGTAGGCTCGCCTGATATTCACTTTCGACACAAGCAAAGGGGAAAAAATCCAGGCGTAGGTAGAATGATTAGTCCTACGGCTCAACTGATAGAAGAAGTATTGGTGATCCTCGTTCAAAGAGCAAAATGATCGGATAAATAAAGTCCTTATTTAAACTTTTTTCATCCTAACATGCAGAGGTTATGCTTGTACTTTCGTTGAAGTTACGTTATCATAGTGGGATGAAAAAAAATGCGCGATTGGCTTGTGCCTGCATCGCTAATGAAAACCAGGTTTAGCAAATATATTTTTCTGTCTTTAGCGATAAGCCCTTTGACTTTAACGACGATGAAACTGCAGGGCCTAAATGTAGTACAACCACAACCGTGACGTAAGATTTGACGATGTAGAAGAACAGGATAACATTAGTCTGGTCAAGAGGACTGAATCGTTGTGCTCTCCTTTGTTGCTCTTTCTTCTGCTCGCTTGAAAAACACAAGAAATGACAACGTTCCACATGCTAGTGTGCTATGATTCGCCGCTTTCGACGAGGCAGCTTCGAGAAACATTTTTCTTGAACTGGGCATGGGTTAGGGCAACACATCGCTCTTTTTAGGGTTGACTGAGAACTTCGAACAACATTTCAAGTACGAAAGATGTTATTTTGCGAGCTCGGTAAAGTGATAGAAAAAGATTTATATTCGTCTTGTCTCTGTCTTATTCTTTTCACTCGTATGACGCTTTAGACATTGCTTATTGTAGCCTTGTACAGGACGTGTCACAAATGGACTTCGTAGCGGAGTCTCTGTAGCTCAGTGGTAGAGCAATAGAGCGCGAAATCCGGAGGTTTGACGTTCAAGTCCTCTTGGGGACACACTTTTTCTTTTCCTCTTTCCCATGCTCGAGACGAGTCGAATAAACTTCTTCCTCCACCACCTTTCAAATCTATTTTACCAATTCTTTTACTTTTATCATTCTTGATTCTTAAAGCTATTGTAGCTGGATGCGCGATGTGGCTAATCACCTAGTCAATAAGAACTCAGAACCCAAGTTGCTATCTCCTCAAGTGATGGTGCTTTTCATTTATTTTGTGTATTTGTAATTTTTTTTTAGGTCATGAGAGAGGAAAAATGCGTTAATTTCTTCATGTTTTTTTACTTCACCTGTAAATTATATTGCGTAGTCGTCATTTTTGTAACGCCTCCATCGTAAGAGAAAAATAAACAATTGTTCATTTATTCACGAATTTCAAATTGACACCATAAATATTTCTTTATTCATTACATATATCTGTTGCTTTTAATAATAGCAATCTTTGAAATGAGCTCTTTGCAAAGGTTATAACAATAATTCGTAAAATTTAGTAGTTGTAAATTTTTCCTCTTCCCACACGCCAATCCGTCACTAACGATGCCTTTCATTAAGCTTTATTCTTGATTACCTGGCTGAAAGTGCTAACAGAATTCTGCACCAATTCTGTGACGTAGCAGCCTATAATTGGCTGCAGTTGTTAATCCATATTCATCAGAACTTGTAAAATTTTCAGCAAACCGCGCTGTTCGTCGTAGAGTAAAGACGTGTCGTCCGTCATGCTAAACTTAACGTTGCGTTCCGGGAGGAAGAGGACATTAGACCTAGAAAGAATAGCAACGAAAGCACTTTCATGTCACCAAAACAGCAGGTGAGCATTGTCTTTGGAAAATATCGGCTTAAAAAATACAAACAAGTCGTATTATCCCAGTTCATCGACGTAGCACGAATCGTTCACTTGGTCTGTGCTGCGGTTCTTCAACCGAAATTGGACTGACTTAGGACCTAAATTGGCTTAGAGAAAAGCAGAGCCACTGGAATTGTCAAATATGCTTAGTAAAACGCTCCCATATAAATGTCTTTGCTAGCTAAATTTATTGCAATTGGGGACTATCTTTATTTTGTATTTGAATGAGGCCACGTGGAGGTGTGATAACTCTTCCACTCCGTGACCTTTGCTTCATTGTTAATCAGACATTCAATAAAGTTTTGGTGCTCTCAATTTTTCAACAATTGTGTCAAAGAGTAAAATAAATATATAGAATTTTTTTTTCGTTTTCGTCCTCAAGGAAAGTAAGCATTCCCTAATCATACTCGTATTTTCTACTTTCAGGAAGAGCAAGTTG